CCCCCCGTCCTCCACCTCCTGCTTTTGCGACTCCGTGGTTACTCTTGTATACTATCACCTTTCAAAGTAGTGTTGTATGCTTTTGTTCGAGAGGATACCGGCTGGCAAACATCTAAAGGGGGAGATATATAGGTTCATAATAGCACGCACAATAGTGTGACATCATTCAAAGTGAATGGTTATATGCAAATACTTTATGTGATTTTGATTTCAAACATACCAGAATATTAACGGTGAAAATATGACTGAAATGAAAATATATCAGAGATTTATCCATGCCTTATTACAATGAGTGTACAGAACCTTCTCTTACCTGTTAGAGAGTGTTTTGTTTGTCGTATTCAAGACTCTGCTAAGGGTTGGACGATCGTTTGATCAAATAACACGTTGGCTGTAATTTAGTCAATAAATAGAGATATATATTTTGTTTAAGAAAAGCTCTGATATCATTACAAAGGAAGTTTTGCTGTGAAATAATACTGAATATTTTCTGATAAAAAAATAAATATAATAAATAAGTATTTACTTTATCATCATTTACTTTAAATTTCAGTTCTTGTCAATGTCAGCCACTACCAGGTGGGTGTACACAATGCAACGTTGTTGTCACCACACCAACAGACGTAAAAATAGACACTGGCAACGGAGGAGGTTGTGATATGAACAACTCCTTTCCTGGAAAGGTCAGTGACACAAAAAAGCTGTCTGATTCAGTTACTTCATGAAACAATATACATGCACGTAAATAAGACATATCATAGAATGCATTTAGCCATAAGCTGCATTATTATTTATTGTTAAAGGATACCCATACCACTGCCGATACTTTAACAATGCACCGGAAACCGATTTGGCAAGCATGGATGTAGCTTAGCTTTGCTACATCATTTATACACAGAAAACCATTCCTTCTGGCATTTCAATGTAAACTCAACGCATAACATTTGATAGGGCAAGACAGGGATTCGAACTCAGGTTTTGATATAGTTATACTATCGCTCAAATCGACCGACTGGGATACAAGTATGAATGGTATACAAAGTTTTCTGACCAACTTCTGCTACGGATTTATCTTAAACGAAAATTCATGGGTTGTTACTGTAAAAACGAAAAACACATTTCGGGGGACAGGGATCCTTATTGAAAATAAGTACAAAAATGTGGTTGGACTCATATTTTGTAATAAATGGATTTTTCTTCCTGTTCCAATTTTAACAAATCAAAAGAAATACACAATACATGAACACGAAGTTGATGCATTTTATAGTTGATACTAAAAATACGATATAGAGTGTTAAGTAAAGGAGAAAGATAGATACAAGGTAAAGGTCGACACGGAGAGAGAATATGGTGATATATTAAGGAGATAATGGGAAAGTAGACAAAATAAGTGTGAATGTTTGTCACGAGGAAGAGGCAAATGATGGTATTAATCGCCTATGTATTGATGTGTTGCAATGCAATAAATCTATCCAGTATAGCTGTTTATATCATAAATATCCATTAATATCCAGGTTCGAGGCACTGCTTAGTAGTATACATGTTGAAGGGTTACTAAACCAAATATACTGCTATATGATTCGTTACAAAACACTAGGATTTTGATACAATGCACATTTAGTTTAAATGTAAGCATAACAGCTTCAATTCAGTTTCCCGTTTTTAACAAGACTTAACTTTTATCGATGTCAATAGAAAAAATAAATAAACATGTTTTGTTAAGAGTTTGCTTAAGGAGACCATAAACAGATCTGGCATTGCCTTTATGTTGCCGGGAAAAAGATTGTGTAAATCGAAGTATGACTAGGTTAAATTGTTTATTTGACTTAATTCAAAATACTGAGATTTCCCCATAAGGCATTCTATATTTTGCAAATGGGGATCCAATACAATTGAGCAAGTGTACAAAACAATGCTTGCTTTCCATGAGATTGAACATTTGCTATAATCCATAAACAAGTCTTAAAGAGTCATTTGATAATAACCATTAAAAAAACAATTTGCAATGAAGACTCTCTGTCTGCAATCATGTTTTGTCTAAACATTTAGCATTTACATATTATATTATATTATAAAACAAAAATACTAAGGTAATACTTCATAGATTTCCTTTATTCAATGTCATTCTATCTGCATAACAGTTGTGCTTTTAATTCCCAGACTAAACTTCATTTGAGAGTAACTGTGAGGGAATTAGGAAACGCAGTGCTTATACTTAGACCGAACGTAATAGGAACGTTTTGTCAACCCATCAGCTTGGACAAGAGGCAGAGTTTGTACAATGCAAGTGATGGAAGGCACTCCAGGTACCAAATATATTCATATGTAATAAGTATAAATGTATCTAGGCAATGTCATTGTTTAGTTTTAGTGCACAGTTGACACTTACTTCTGTGTAGACATCGCCCAATAATACTATCACGGAAACCAAGATATGGAAAACAAATAAAAAAAAAGAAATACATATTTACTTCCTTCACATGGACATTTAATACTTTTTTTTATCATACGTGTATATCTTTATATTTGCCTTTTCTATATTTTTTGTTTAACTAAATGCGACGACCAAGATTCCCTTCTGCTTTTTACGATATCGATTTGATTAACACTATATCAGTTTTCTTACAAACGTCATATCTTTTTAAAAACGCAATGATCAAATAATTATTAAGATGGATATTAACATAGCCCTGTTTACCCACTTGGTATCATCTATTAAAAGCTTATTGATGGAGGTGACATCAACTTTGACAACAACGACACCAAAGACTGTAACCACCTCCAAGAACTTCCATCCGGGGATATCTACAACAGGTATTACACCGACATCCCGTATGTGGAATATGTATAAGAGGTTACATATAATGAAAATATACATATGATTTGAAGATAACCTCATATAATCAATTGCCCTATTGTCATCGCATTTTGTCCGTCGTCTTCCGTCATCGTGTGGCGTGTAAAATGTCGTGTAGCGGTAAAAAATGAAGGTAAAGACAAAGCAAAAACAAAAAGAAAATTTAATGCTGAAGTAGAAAAAAAATGTATGAGCTTTGAATGCGGTACATCGGTCAAAATTGCACAAGTTTTGGCCGTCCAGACTTCATTTGTCATTCTATATACACATGTATACGGCAGCAAAAATCTTGCTAAGCACTTCATTTTCATTTATCATATATCTTATATATTGACGACTGCTATCTTAAAAATGAAAGTTCTTAAAAAAACTTCAATAGTATATACCCTTCTGAATGTCATAAGTTTATCATTTTCTTTATACGGAGAGAAAACTGTCGGGTCGAAAGGTGTTAACATGACACAACCATCTAAAACATTTGGTAATACAATACAAATATTTGTCTTATAAAACACTGAAGTGGATAATTATTTTTCTACCACCTGTATCTTTGCAATATACACATATCTCATATGAAATACCCGTGTGGGATAACTCTAACCTGCATAGGCGAAAAAGGTTACCACGGTTTGAGAACTACTTCATTTCTTCTAAATCTTGATTACCAATGTCTTCGGAAAATTCGTGGTATATTCCTGGATATTCGAAGTGTATTCTAAAAATTCTGAGTGCATTCTGAGTGCATTCTGAGTGCATTCCAAGTAATCTTGTCCATTCTTGTGGCCAGTCCTAATGCTTTGCTATCGCTCAAAACGTTTGAGGTGCATTCGTAGTGGAGAAATATCAAACAGCATCAGAAGTGTATTCTGACTGCATTCTAACTACATTCTAAATAGTCCTACGGCATTCTGACAGCATTCTAAATAGTCCTACGGCATTCTGACTACATTCTGACTACATTCTAAATAGTCTTACGGCATTCTGACTACATTGACCTTAAGATTACGGCATTCTAACTACATTCTGTCTACATTCTAAATAGTCCTACGGCATTCTGACTACATTCTGACTACATTCTAAATAGTCTTACGGCATTCTGACAGCATTCTAAATAGTCCTACGGCATTCTAACTACATTCTGACTGCATTCTAAATAGTCCTACGGCATTCTAACTCCATTCTGACTACATTCTAAATAGTCCTACGGCATTCTGACTACATTCTGACTACATTCTAAATAGTCTTACGGCATTCTGACAGCATTCTAAATAGTCCTACGGCATTCTGACAGCATTCCAAATAGTCTTACGGCATTCTGACAGCATTCCAAATAGTCCTACGGCATTCTGACTACATTCTAAATAGTCCTACGGCATTCTGACAGCATTCGAAAGATTTTGATTGTATTTGAAGGATGACCCAAACGATGCGCTCTGACTGCATTTGAATTGCATTCGTACATCATTCGAGCAATCTGATTAAAATCATCTGTTACATGGCGCCGCCTGAACATCTGAATGTGCCGCGGTCAGGGTCACGTTCAAGTGACCTTAAGATGAACCAATCAGAGGCGCGCTGGCAAAAGTTTGCCAGCGAATCGGAATATCATGGTCGATATATAAAAAGCGAGGGGTATCGAACAGATTAGTTTTCCAAAACAAATATGGTGGCGGGAACTGACGTTTTTACGACGCCAAGGAAAACGTACCCATTGGATCATAATTGCGTAGGTAACACCGCCAAACAGTCTTTCTTCTCTAATAAAGCTTCGAATATATTTCTGTTTCAGACGATCAATCTTAAATTACTTCAGAACTTTCGCATCATTCTCATCAATGTCCGCCATATTTGTTACAACTCCGAGCGCCCTTTTGAAAGAGGGTCTCTGATTGGTATAAAAAATATTGAGTATTTATAATTATAAAGGTCACTTGAACGTGACCCTAACCGCGGCACACTCAGATGTTCAGGCGTAGTACGAAGTTAACGAAGCCATGTAACATATGATTTTAATCAGATTGTCATTCGAGGTACCTTCCGACCAGACTTTGGCCGGTATTCGGGCAACAATCAAACCGTAGTCGTACGGCAGTGCATTATAAATATTTTGACTGGATTCTAACATCATTCTAAATATTCATACTATTTTCCAACTACATTCCAGCTGTGTGTAAGTATGCAGGCCAATTTGACTTTCCCTCCCGAATGTGGCACTGATTTAAAATGTTTTTCTTTCCGGATGGTTCTGCCATATTTCTGCTGTTTCTGAATAAGTGTGACTAGGGCTTCATAGAGTTTCTTAAACTAACGTTTGTATACAAACTGTTCGCTATCATATCGGATTACGTCCTGAAACGCTATGTCATTTCGATACGTATGCTCGAAAGTCCATGGGGATCTGCTCACTAATGTTATTTGCATCCCTGTAACATGACATCGCACTGAGTAACTAAATTTTTAAACAAACATGCCTTGAAGATTTTACAAACGTATTTTATGTAAAAGTGTACTTGTCCATGCGCTCTCCGAATTTGTTATTGAGATATATGCACGGTTTCTAGAAAATCTACTTTATTTATTGCTTTTGTTGCGTTCGCAATGTCAATGGTGATTTTTTACATAATTGCTGGTCAGCAGGGAAAGATAATTCATTATGGTTGTATGTAGTATAGGGAAATCCAGCAACTCGGTCTCGAAATTCTACTTTAGCCACTGTTCTGAACTAATTCCAACGCCCTCAAATAAAATCATTCTATTCAACATACTTAGATATTACAGAATCTACAAGTTATTTCTTCAACGTTTTTATTATAACCGTAACATCTTTCAGTTGCCAGCTATGGAGCCAAAAAAGAAACGAATGGTGATGATGCATCCCTAAGTAAGTAAAGAATACACTGACGGAAATTAGATAAGGCAAATTACATGTCTAAAAATGCCCTGAAATTGCAATTGTTTGTTATACTCTTCTTTTCACTACATCCTCACTTCACGACAAAATTCGTTAAACTCATATTCTTTTTATCGATAAAGATATTTTTGTTAAATATTTTTTCCTCATTTTCTTGTTTTTGTGTGTGTAAACTTTTGAATTCAACGTTTCTGAATGTAAGTCCGTTGTCACTGTTTTTTGCAAAACATTAAAATGTACCAATAACCCAAGAGTACAGAAAATAAGTTTAATGTTTAATCTGACTCACAATGAGAATTTCTGGTTTTTGAATAACAACACTAATTCAGAGCCAGGATAGGTTTAGCGTTTATTTTTTTTTAGTTACTGATCAGAGTTTAAAAATATACTATAGTTGGTCACAATTTTTTAATGTCAAAATTCTAAAAAGGATACCTATTTGGATATTCACCTTTGAGTATTCAATATCAGAAAAAAACTAATAGAAAAGTAGGTGCGGTGTTCATGAAGCCCAACGTGGAATACAATCTAACATTTTTAGATAAAACAGGCCTAACACTGCCAAACAGACCCAAGCATTTCCATTCTACGAGATGAACATTACTCTGTGGTTGTGTATTCAAGATGGAAATGTAGCCTTACAACTTCATTATATTTGTATGGCAGTATATAGAGTTATTCTAAGTTCCCTACAATTAATAACTTTTAATGTTTCGTGAGGGAGAGGTTTTCTTAAGGAAATCTTTGACTAGTTACAAATACCGTATGATTAATAAATAATCTATTCAACTAGTGCTGTGAACTACCAAGCCATAAAAACGTTAGTGTCTAACCCCTCCTCCGAGCAGGCAGTGTACACAAACATAGCTTTAAAAGATATTGGTTGTATTGGTTCAAACGATTAGGTGGAATTAGCCAGTAGAAACAGGTGACGTCATATACATGCTACACGTACACGTTAACGGTTATTTATGTTAAATCGAATTTTAATTGTACGTGTACGTATAGCTAACACGTACCCAAACCCGAACTCGTATGGTTGCTAAACCTCTCTAATGTTGAATAAACAATTTAGAATTTCGTTATTTAAAATATCAATACATCTGGTAAAAAGGCACTGTCCAGCCAGAGGCGTGCGTCGAGATTTTATGTCCTGAAATGAAAAATAGCATAGGAAGGAAGGGGGCGATGGGGCGGGGTGATTAGAAATGCATGGAGTCGCATTATTGTGAAAATCGTATTATGGATCCTATCCATTTCTGTTACAGGTACTGGAGCTATAGCAGGAATCGTCTTTGCTTTGCTGGTGATTTTGGCCATTGTTATCCTTTTAATTGATTACTGTCACAAGCGTTGGATATTTAATTTTATCTGCAAGCAAAAGTTATGAGTGTTCTTTGGTAAGGTACTAGGTAGGAAGTTTAATGACAGATAATTACAAATGTGTGCAAACATCGACAATGTTTTTCTTAAAACTTTTTTAGTTGTACTGTACAACTAAATACCATCTAATACAATTTAAACCTGTACGTAAATGGCCAACATCCCAAAGTTAATCGTAGATTTAAAAACATAATTCAGCGTTAAAACTTCTCTCGGTGGCGTTTTGGTTTCATTTGATAGTCATTAAGAGATTGTGAATGTCAAATATTATCATACATGTATATTATATCTCTACACGTTCGAATCATTCAAATATATTGATGGATGTTGCCCATTTTAGTTTATTACCCTAACAAGAGTTCGATACAGAATCGTATTACCATGCTTTAGTGATGAGTATTATTAAACATCTAAAACTGTATCAATTATAACTCAAAATTAGTCATAGTTGTAATCATATAATTATATTCCTTTCATGTCAGAAATCAATAATGTTAATGAGTTATGTTAATACTAAGAAAATGAAAACATAGGCGATTTTGTTTAAAACATAAATTTACATGTTTGAATCATATGAGAAACAAAAAAGTTTCGATACTTTGTAGCTAGGTATGTTCTATAACTTAAATTTCAATTTGGTGCATCGAATTTGTGAATTCAGAATACAGATTAGAGACAGGAAACCAATGGCACAACTGGATGATATCAAATGGAATTAATTTGACCTCTGTGACTTCTAATAACGTTAAATCCAAAACCTAAAGTTTCATCCATCCATCCGTTTTGCAACCAAGGGGAAGTCATTCTGTAATGTAATGGAACCGTCCTGAGCGAGATAATCGAGTTGGCTTGTCATTTGCTTGAGTTTGGTCTAGTTTCATATACGTGTATTTTCTGTAATACATATTTGTTAATTTAAAACAAACTGTTACCATCTCTGGAGTTACAAATAAATAGCACAACTCGCTCTCATTGATCAATTGCAAAGACATCAATTTCTCGACTCATTTGTTGCATAATTGATCTGTCTATATTGGCGCACAATAGATCATTGCTTGTCTCTTTTATTTAGTTAAAACATGATCAAAGTAGCATTCAATTGAAGAAGCGGCTGACAGGAGTTTTCTATCTTTTGTTTAATTCAATTAGGCAAGCCTGTCTACACTACAGCCTCCATTGGTTTGGATAAGTAAACGTATATAGGAATTTTTTTCCGTAGGCGTTGATGCAATTATTTTTTTCAACAGCGTTCATTATCCTTGATTAAACTTTGAGCATCGTCTTAAACTTACGAATAATTAGATCATAAACCTAGAGCAGTTTAAAAAAATTCCGAATATAGCTAAAGTTGTGAAGTAAATACCAATGCAAACATTAAAAATAAGTTGCCTTTTTGATCACTTTTCAAAATGAAGGCTGGGTTAATTATTACGTAATTTCTATTTAACAATTTAAGATTACTTTCATTCGATTTTATAACATTATCAAGACGCGTCCTCTACCACTATGAGTAGGGGTTTAGAATAGGCCTACTCTGTTAGCTGCTTGTTTATCTTTTGTGTTTTGCTTTATTTATATATTGGTGGGGTTTTGTTTTGTATTGCGATACATTTTATGTGGAGAATATACATTACCTGATTCATATTATACTGATGACGTTATTTCGATCAACCATTTTTTACATATTGTCTCACTTATGATAAACAGGTCTGTCCCCAGCATATTATCCATCATCTCACTGTATGAACTAAAGTACCTATGCATCTTACCCTGTTGTTAATCAAAACCTGTGCGATTACATAATACAAATAACAAAGATATAAATTAATCATATTTAATTGAACCATTGTTTTCAGAATACAGCTTCGTATAGTCAAGCACGTTTAATAATGAGTAGCAATATCTACTGCAGCTTCATATTTAAACACTGCATTGCACCGCAAAAACTCCAGATTGTGGTATTCTCAGGGTAGTTAACCCGTCTAAAAAAGGCGGACATTATTTAAGGAATCTCACAATTACTTTTATATATATAACATATAGTAGGATATTGCAACATAAACTGCGCGGCCTAAACATTTTGCCATTTGGCTAGTCCAGAAAATTAGATTGAGAAAAAAAAATCTAATTAAAAAAATAAAATATGTTCCCATCCTTAATTGAGATGATGGATCTGCTGGTCTATTTATATATGTTAATTGTATTTTTCATTTTAAAATATAATTAACATTTAAGTTAATTAATTAATAAGCCTTAGAAACATTGATTCTACTTTATGAATTTGCTTCTTAAATTCATAATTGTAATATAAATATATGTAAATTTGTTTCCACCTGTATATCCTTTTTATGAAGAGGGCTTACGAAGGCTGTGCCTGTTGCCCAATCCATTTGACAATTCGCCATATTTGTCATTAAACGATGTTGCAATGAAAATATGTAAAATATGTATAGAAATTTATATATGATATGTTGATTGGTTGAAATAATTTTATTATCTGTTTATTAACATGAGGGTATCTAAAATAGAACGGTACCCAAAACGGAACACTTTTCACGTTTGCATGATAGAGCTTTTTATTTTGCAATAGAAATTAATGTTATGTAATGGTTATCAAAACGTATATAGATTCAAGCAACTGTAGACAAAATTACCAGGTTCCCTCACATTAATCCTAATTAACTCAACTAAAAACGTTAAAAAACTAATTTTCCTGGAAATGATACAGAGCGGCGACATTTATATCCTGCAATATTTGTTAAAAGAATATTTCAAAGCAAAAACTAAAGACTAACATTTGGTAGAAAGTTTCAAACTGTCTTGAAATGAGTAAAAAGTTTACAGATTTGCGTTATTTTCAAAAACTGATGAGGTGTTCCATATTAAGTACCCGGTCTGCTAAATGCACCTGACTCAACTAAATGAGCTTTATAAATAAAGTCACACGCTGATGATACCCTAATAATACACCACATGAAGGTTATAGGCACCTGTATTTGCATTACAGCAAAACAAAGTTTCCAGAAACTAAGCAAGAAGTATTAATATTTCGATTTAAAAAGTGTTCCATTTTAGGTACTCTAATGCTACTTTTGAAATATAACAGTGTATTCATGTCTACATAAATATATCCTATATATCCTTTATATTCATGTCATGTTAACTAAAAGTATTAAAGCTAGATGTTTTCTTGTTGTTAATTATATACAAACTAATTACAGAATGTCGTTAGGATAGTAAAGGCATATTCTGCTATTGACTTACCGAAGTGTATCAGCAAAATGACAAACAAAATCTTATTGTTAATATAATTGAACAACATCTGACCATGCAACATATATTGCAGGTTCATATAATGTAATGATGAAAGCATGGTCACTATTTAACAACCATATTACAAACAAATATTTCCACATAACTTTCTTTAAGGAAAGGGATATAATCCCAAAACTAATTTAATACAGTTGATGCCTTTGACAGTATCGTGTTTTATCGACGTATTTTTTTGTATAAATAGTAATATTTGCTGTTGAAATATATATAAACTGCTTTACTGGTTGTTGTGTACATGAGGATAAAACACTATTGAAAAACTTCATTATGTGGTCTATCTAATATAGCGTCCCTTTGTACGCTACCACACGTAGTCACATCAATGAAATGTAAGCTATGGAGATCACAAATTATTTATTTGAATAGTGAACGTGCATGTATTTATTTACTTAGAAGCTGGTGTGATGTCTTTCTTTCACCAAACAAGAGCCATTATACACAACAACAAAATCTTTGAAGAACGGTTCTATCCATTGTGCTGTAGGGTCAATACTTCAAGAGTAGTTTAAAACATGTTTGAACATACGGAAACTTGTGACGTCAATACCAATAGAAACATATAACCTGTTTTCCTGATCAGATTCTTAACTTATACCTGAGTTGTGTGTATATGTGCAGTGAATTCTAGACAACTCAAATCATAGGTATCGTGTGGGTTTTACGTTCTTAGCATAGCTCGTTCTCTAACATACATGTACGGAATTGGGGAGGAAAATTTATATAATCTGTGACTTTTTTCTTGCAGCTGAATATATTTCATGAATTGCAATGCTACCTGCTTGTCAATCCTTTCTATTTATTGCATTTTTATGCTTTAAATATCGGATTCTACCAATTTGATCACAACAAAATTAAAATTTAAAATATCACTTTATGGTTTAAACCAATCAGAACGACATTTTCTATTTACGCCATGAAGAGTATCAGTTTTTTGGAAGCAAAGCTTACCGAGTAATTACAAAAGAATCAAATGTTTTGCTGAGTAGCCGATTCAAAACGACGCCTTCAAATGTGAAGTCATTGGAATATGGTGCGAAAGATTAACTATTGTATCCCCACTACTTTGAAGCAGTAACATTTTCGTTCTGGTCGGTAATTTAAAATGTAATAAATAGAAGATTTTCTGGCTTTCCCATTGGCTACCATATACAGATTTTGTTCTGTCGTGTTTCACACTCGTTAAATATACTGGTGTTCTGACACACTCGTGAAATACATTTGGTAATAAACAGGAAACCATAAAATATCATTTATATGTTGTGTTTTAATAAAAACTATGTGGAAACAAAATTCCATAAACTGTTGCTTATTTTTCAATTTCTAATTTATGAAAATCTATTCATTTCTTTACTGCAAATTATTGCTAACCGTGTTAATAAAAAGCAACCACAAAACATGGTATTTTCCGTTTTTATTTAAAAACTGATATCAATTACAAAATGTATAAAAAAAATGCATGCACTTAGTACATCAAACATAATATACCCATTTTGATAATATCGAATAGTATAATGCATGCTGGGAAATGTTAGCTTCATGTGTTTCTTTCGCCCTTCGCTTCGTAATTGAGGCTAGCTTACATGTATCATGATAGCTTATATTATTACACACCATACCATATATAGTAATTACTGTATACTGGGAAATGATCGCCGTAGTTTCAGTTTTCGCCCGTTTCGCCCTCAGCTCCGGAATGAGGTCGAAAGTTCCCGGTATACAGTAGATTTTTCCAGTGAAGGGTGAACTATTTAATAGTATTCAGTAGTAAAGACAGATGCACCTATTCATTAATCAATCTTCCTCAGTCCATTGTCTGATGCAGCCAGTAGATTTGTGCCCCCCCCCCCCCCCACACACACACACACACCACATTCAATGGCTATATTTATTGTATGATGTGCTTTAATATTCCCAGTCACGATAAATTCGCGAGGGCGAAAAAGGCAAACGTTAAACTGTTGCAAAATTTTAACAGAATACAGTAACGACCAGATGTAATTTTGCGCATTTTGCGCATGGGCCATACTTCTTTATCTTAAAAAGCACCCATAGCCAGCTAACTGATGACGCAGGCAATGCGAAAAATGTTTTCAAATGTATGAAAAAATCGATTTGCTATATCTTTCAAGTTCAACATCTTATACAATTATCTTCAATTACAACCAAAAACACAACAAAATTACAAAAGTACTCAAGTTTTATCATCGCAAGGATGAAAAGTTGATTCGCATTACCAGCACTGTAGCATGTCCTCTACGTGAAGTACTGAATGGAGTACATTTATAAGGAGTTGCTATGGCTGTATACATAAGAATGATAAAAGACACTATTCCGATGATATATAAAGCAAATCAACATATATAACTAACATTTTTAAATATTCAAACATGTAAAGGTCGAAGAAACAGGTACCCGCTAATGGAAATAAAACTGGGTTTCATTGCGTATACCAATTTGCATATACATGTATCAGACTATATATCTTAAACATGCTATTTACAGGTTTGCCGGCAATATAACGTAGCGAACGATAAACAAAAACTTACGGTTTATACATGAATAAAACTTTATCATAAACACACATATCTAATACAGGTTCATATCAAAACACGTTTAGTATTATAATGTTTCATAAATAAATCTTGTCGGGAAATATTAAGTTTAGTAATATAATGTATCATATATAAACCTTGTCATGAAATATTAAGTTTAGTATTATAATGTATCATAAATAGACCTTGTCATGAAATATTAAGTTTAGTATTATAATGAATCATAAATAAACCTTGTCAGGAAATATGAAGTTTAGTAATATACAGCAAAACCATTATTTTTTTCTAGCATTTTTGTTCAAAGAAAGGCTGACAATAACAGGGTGTATTATTTATAACAGTTTAAATGTTGGATACATTACAGGGTCATGATGATAATTTTAATGCAAAATGATTTTTCATCGTATGTTGTGTCTTTTTTTTTTATAAATTATGCTGTTGCACTTATGATATGTGTCACAGTGTCGAAGATATCAGTTTTATCAAGTCATTGATTAGATGGTTTGTCTGTACCTTGGTGTCCGGATTTAAAAAATATATATATTCTGCAGCCACATATAATTTCAGGCCTCTGTCATGGGGTTTTAGTATAATGTGTAGGTGCACGTGGCTAGTGGAGGGAAGTCGTCTGGTACTGGAATAACCTTTTTTTAAATTTACCGGAGTTTTTTGCCCGGAACCCGTCTTTGTTTATACATTATACCAAATATCCGGTCACGACAATAACATCCGGTGATGAGAACGATGTGAAGGAATTTTAGTGTTAGTGTGTATGGTTGACAGTGCGTCAGTCCCCGTTTTTGACTTTATATTAATGTATGTTTATATTATCTTCTTTCTATCACTCAATCTGTTCTTTCCTTTTACTTTCTTCTTCTTTGTGTCTCTATGGTGTCATAGGACTGACAAGGTGACATATACAAATTTGTTTTTTTTATGTACATATCATGGAAGAAATTAAGATACTAACAGCAAACTGCCAGGACCTGTGTGATAAGGGAAAACGTAAAGATGTATTTTTATATTTAAGAAATTAGAATTATAACATATACTGTATTCAGGACACACATTTTACTGTTGAAATGCAAAATATCATAGGGTCAGAATGGGGAAATTCCTGTCATTTCAGTTCATTTAGATCAAATTCAAGAGGGGTTGTAATTTTAATCAATAATGATTTTGAAATGAAGGTGAGGAATGAAAAAAAAGATACAGAAGGGAACTTTACTGCTTTAGATATATTAATGGGAGAAACAGAGGTAACTTTAATAACACTATATGGTCCGAATAGAGATAGGTCACACTTTTATGAACAAATAGTAGATGCTATTATTGAGTATAACAATGAATATTTTATTGTATGTGGTGATTTTAATATGGTTCTGAATCCTGATTTAGACTATGATCAAAATTATAGACATAAACATAATCCAAAGGCTAGAGATAAGATAATAGAATTAATGGAAGAACTAGATATGATAGACATTTTTAGAGAACAACACCCAAAAATAAGGAGGTACACATGGATGAAACTAACCCTATACAACAAGCTCGTCTTGATTTCGTTTTAATATCTGACAATTTGGTAAGAAATGTACAAAAATGTAACATAGAGACTGGCGATCGATCAGACCATTCTTCACCTTCTATATCATTTAAGTTTAATGAGTTCAAAAAAGGAAAGGGTCTTTGGAAATTTAACAATTCATTATTGCATGACTTACAATATCTTAATATAAAAAATAAGCCTATTTCTGAAGTGAAATTACAGTACGCTCTTCCTGTTTACAATTTTGAGAATCTAAATATTATCTCTGACAATGATATTCAATTTCAAATTAATGATCAACTTTTTTTATAGACATTATTATTTGAAATTAGGGGCAAAACAATATCATATTCATCTTACAAGAAAAAGCAGCAAAATATACAAGAGAAGAATCTTATTGAAGCAATTAATTCTCTAGAAGCCCATTGCAGTATAGATTTTAATCAAGTAGAAGAAAAAAAGAAGGAATTAGAAAGAATTAGGCAACATAAAATGAAGGGTAATATCATTCGATCAAAAGCTAAATAGGTTGAAGAGGGAGAAAAACCAAGAAAATATTTTTTCAATCTAGAAAATAGAAATTTTACTTCGAAAATTATTCCAATGTTAGAAAAAGGAAATGGGGAAATTATTAGAATACAGGAAGATATTTTAAATGAAGTTAAGTTATTTTATGAACATTTATATTCAAGGCAACTGCAACTTCTTACCGCACTATGAAACCAAGTAAAATGATTCCCAAGTCCGTATTGAAACTTATTAAACAGTAGTTATTCATCATCAGAAGTTAATTGCACACTTGCCAATATTCAGAATTTAAATTTATTTAGCTTTTAACATATTTGTTGCCAATAAAATTGAACAAGGGATGGGGGCACACGTTTTTACAATTTATCACAGCCTTCTCCCGTCATACATTTACAATTAAATGTCAACCATGATAATAGGCATAAACACAAAGTATATATATATATAAATATATTGAATTTAGTAACGGAATGTGATATCTGTACGGGGCTAAACACCTTTCTTCAACCATGGGACAAACCTTTCTGTAAAAAGGAATATTCACGAGACGAATATCCCCTTTCAAATGTTTTCATGAAGTGAATATATGCAATGAAAAACCACACGCGTATCAAAAAAAGAGAAACGTTTGTGATTTGTTTTATTACATTGTACAACTCAATATCTTTGGCCATTTTTTTTCTTTCTACACCATGCATAAACAAATATGTATACTCTCTTTCCCACTTTCGCCGTCTCCATACGCTAACACTTAGTAAGTCATATTAGCCATCACACACACTAAACTGTATGGAAAAACCAGTACGTGTACATGTAGAATATGTGTCAGATATTGGCTACTTGATAATTATATTTTTTCAATACTTTTCATAGATTAAAGCATTCTTGTCAATGGACCCTTTTTATGTTGAGCCAATTTTTCTTTAATCATTTCATTTTTGTCCGAAACAGAAGCCGTAGTTATCGGCAGCACGCGTCATTTTTACAACGTAAACAAATGTTTCTTCCCCTGTTTTCAATACGTATTCCGATTCTATCTGAAGTCGAAGATTAATTCTTTATAGAGAAAAGGTTGTTACATGATCATACATTCTAAGTCAACAACATATGAAAACATGAACTGTTGAAATATTACGATTTAAAAAAAAAATGTTACGCGATCCTATTTACTAGAAGTAGGTTCTCCTTCCTCAGTTATTCATCCTGGCCCGTCATTTTGACATTTTTACTCTATAGCTGCGATAATGTAGCTTTCTGACGACGAGAGATTTTTTTTTATATATTACGTCGTTGCGCCAGAGGAAGCCGGGTATTCATATTAGTACTAATTTAAATCTTGTATGTAAAAACAAACAAAAAATCGTTTAATTCAGCAATATAATTAAATCATACCATTTTACTGAACCCGGTAATATTATAAATTATGTAAATCTAAAAGCGCACGTATCTCATTTGACCCCGATCACGAGTACCGACAGAGACGGCTATCACAACAGTTAACCCTTGGAGGGCCTCATGACAAAATCAAACTAACCAGTCACTTATCCCTTCCTTTCGCATAAACCACTGTATAATTATAGAAACACAAAGTAAACTCTCTCCGATACATGCCCATCGACATATTAAACTAAGTTCATCTGTGTTCAAAC